CGAAGGTTGGGACGGCACATTACCATCTGAGTAGGGGCAGAGTGAGTAGTGTTGGAGGAGAGCGAGAGAGAAAAGGATACAAAGTAGTGGTCGGAGACTTGGAGGGGAGTTGCAGTGAGATTAGTAGAAGAACAGCATCTAGTAAAGATGAGGTCAAGCGTATTGCCTGCCTTGTGAGTACGGGGGGACGGTGAGAGGGTGAGGTCAAAAGAGGAAAGGAGTGGAAAGAAGGAGGCAGAGAGAAATGAGTCAAAGGCAGACGTAGGGAGGTTAAAGTCACCCAGAACTGTGAGGGGTGAGCCATCCTCAGGAAAGGAACTTATCAAGGCGTCAAGCTCATTGATGAACTCTCCAAGGGAACCTGGAGGGCGATAAATGACAAGGATGTTAAGCTTGAATGGGCTAGTGACTGAATTCAAATGAGGAGATAGACAGATGGGTCAGGGGAAAAAGAGAGAATGTCCACTTTGGAGAGATGAGGATTCCTGTGCCACCGCCGCGCTGACCAGATGCTCTCAGGTTATGCGAGAACACATGGTTAGACGAGGAAAGAGCAGTAGGAGTAGCAGTGTTTTCTGTGGTAATCCATGTTTCCGTCAGCGCCAAGAAGTCGAGGGACTGGATGGTAGCATAGGCTGAGATGAACTCTGCCTTGTTGGCTGCAGAACGGCAGTTCCAGAGGCTGCCAGAGACCTGGAACTCCACGTGGGTCGTGCGCGCAGGGACCACCAGATTAGAGTGGCAACAGCTACGTGGTGTGAAGCGTTTGTATGGCCTGTGCAGAGAGGAGAGAACAGGGATAGACAGACACATAGTTGACAGTCTACAGAGAAAGGCTACAATAATGCAAAGGAGATCGGAATGAAATGAACTAAACATCTGGGAAAGCGAGAGAGCACAACACTGAAACAACACTCACACAACGCTGAAACACTCAAACAACATAAAACAACTTCCCTCAAAATGTGTGTGTGTGTGTGTGTGTGTGCATGTATGTGTGTATGTGTGTGTGTATGTGTGTGGTGTGTGTGTGTGTGTGGTGTGTGTGTGCGCCCAGATGTTATCAGCCCAGGTCATGCAAATGATGCATTTGCCAGTGAAATGGGACTAACTGCTATAGATGGTGAAGGACTGAAGGTTTTAAGTGTTGAGGGAGTAGTTAAATAGTTCCGTTAGTTAACATCACACACACAAACACACACACACACACACACACACACTGTGTCTCCTTTTAGGACCACTAGGTGGAGGCATCAGCTCATAGATACAGATCACCTAGCATTCCATGACAAATATTCTAACTCTTACCAGAAGTGTTACCTTTGTTGCCAACATGGCAGCCTTTATAATGACAGTAGGCTATAAATGAAACAAGGTTTTCCTAACTCTGTGAAGGCCCATGGCTATGCTACGTACAGTATGTGTTTTCTATGAGTCTGGGCCCATATTTATGAAGCTGCTTGAAGGCCCAGTGCAGTCAAAAACGTGATTTTCCTGTGTTTTATATACAGATATTTCCACACTATGAGGTTGGAATAATTCTGACATTTTGAAAATTATGATAATGCTCTTTTAGTGTAAGAGCTATTTGAAAAGAACGCCTGAAATTTCAGCCTGTTTTGGTGGGATGGATTTTTGGCCTGCCTGGTGATAACACCAGGTGGTAATTTAGTTAATAGACATTTTTAGTCATTTAGCAGACCAATAAGAAAGAGAGTTCCAAACCTTTCTGCCAATAACAGCTCGTTTTCAGTTTCCCCCTCCCCACTCAGACCACTCCCAGACAGTCCTAGCTAAATTCTTGCTTGAAAAATTGCTCTTTGCTAAGAAGCTATTTTAGTTTATTTTTGACCATTTTAATTGAAAACAATCACAGTAAGGTACTTAATTGTTACCCAGAAATGATTTGATATTTTGATTAAAAGGCTGCATTGGACCTTTAAAGAAGGAGTGCTGATCTAGGATGAGTTGTATCTTTTTAGATCATATTGAATCCACTGATCCTGGATCAGCACTTCTACTCTGAGATAGTTTGTGAATAAGGCCTCTGACCTCCTCTCAAAAGAAGACCTGTTATAATGATGAAAGTTTAATGTGTCCAGTTTCTTCTGATCTATTTGTGTCTAACATGCTCAATGGGCCACACTGGTTAAAGTAACTGTCCAGTGAAAATCTAACTTTTAAAAGTTCACATTCTGTTAACTCACTCATACCCAAATAATGTTGTTGACTCATCCTATACTCCTATTTGTGGCCAAAGCATAAATTGGAGAAAAAACACTTATAAGATCCCACTTGAAGCTTGTATCTCAAACAGACTGGTTTCAAAAATGCTTGCTATTTCCACATAGAGGATGTTGTCTTCCTCCTGAGGAGGATGAGCTGGCCAATCAGTGGTCAACTAGCATGAATATTTTTTATGACCGGTAAATGGCCACACCATTCTGTTGTTGGGGTACACCCACACCATTCCAACACAGAAAAGCTGCTTTTTAACATACTTAATTACCATTTTTTGGAAGGAAAACTATTTCACTCATATTGTAATTAATTATAGGTCATATTTCATAGAAATCTGGAAACACTGGACAGTTACTCCCTCTCTTTTAGCCCTATGCTTTATTATTGTAAGGAGTCATCTGTTATGCACCTGTGGATGCAATGAATTGTAAGACATTGTAACAATAAAAGTATTATACCTTAGAATCTCTGTGTGTGTGTGCGTGTGCCTATAAGCCTACGTTATGAGATATGTTCATCTTTGCCATAAGTCACCTCTGTAGTAGGCTAATAATTCAATATTGTTTCGCTCTCTCCTCTCTCTCCTTCCCTCTGCAACCTGCTGCCTCAACGGCGTCTCCATGGTAACCCGTGTTCTGTAAGCCGGTGCTGATGGTGTGAAGTTGCATAATCGGTTTCCCCCTTAACCGACACAAACAATAGCCTACATCACGTCAAATAAGCTGAAATTGTTTTTGCACCTAGGAGATGAGAAAATAGGCCCATACTAGCTGCCCAACACAATTAGTGGGAATAAAATAGGCTAAATGAAGAAGCGTGCCTCTTTGGGTGATAATGAGTAGCCTATTTATAGGCTAATAAATCCAACCCATTAGCATTATTTTAACGCATATTTGTTGTAGCTTGATCAGAAAACAGATGGTATGAGTTTGAGGGGGTTTAGAGAACACTACATTTTTTGTATCTTCTGTGTGTTTTTACAGCATGGCGATGTGAGCTTGTGTAAAGTCTCTCGCTCTCTCTTTCTCCCTCAGCTCTCTGTCTCTCTTTCTTATCCCCTTTGCTGTCTCGGTTGTTGCCTTGGATACGGAACGGGAATGCAGCAGCAGCTGGAGTGAAAATGTTGAATTCCACGGGCCCCCAGCTCGCGCCTCCGCAGTATCTCCTCCTCTCTTCTCCTTCTTCACATCGCCACTTCTATCAGACTGCAGCAAAATTCATCCAATCACCTTCTTGGAAAACTGCACCACGTGGTCCATCTTCCTTTATTCACAAATTCTGGGGGTTCTAGCTCTGCGCTCGAGCTGATGAGTCATCACAGAATGGCAACACACACGCACAGATGGAGACAGTGATGAGGAGGAGAAGAAGGAGGTGGTGTTGATGATAATGGAGATGATGACGATGATTTTAAAAAAACAGTATAATGGTGAAGATGAGATCACTGTTAAACTCGGGTAGGCTACATTATCACACTCCCCTGCAGCGCTGTTTCATCGCTACTCTATTTCAGCACCATGGACAGCGACAATAAGGCCTAGCATTGCTCCAAGAACGCCTGCCGCTGAGATCACGACTCCAGTTTTTCCTTCTATAAAAAGCCCACCAATAAACCTTAATATTGTCCATTGAGCAAGTTCTATAGATGTTCAAAATCTGAGTCTGAATGCAGTGTTGACCTGCATGCCTTGATGGTCTATCTCGTCTGAACTTTGGTTGACCCATGTTTGACCTATAGCCTCGCTGACCAGGCCATAACACAGCTGGGGGCATTATGTGCCCAGAGACATCAGTGCCAGCCCGGCTGTTGACTGTTGCTTCACTGTAGCAGGCTATTGGCTAGCCTTTATGGTTTTCCAGAGTCGTAGGCTAATAATCAGTCATGGAGATGGTGTTGCTCTGGGTCTAGTCAACTTAAAGCTGTCCATAAAGTTTACATCTCAGATTATTGCATATAGGGCTAACTTTCAGCGTTCGTCATGCTGCATGTTCTTGAGCACATTAATCACAAGGCAATTCAATTAAACATTGCTGGGAGGCACCGGGACCGTTTGTAACGATTTATGCTTGTATTTCTGAATGTACAATATATAAAACAGAACGCTTTATAATACCATAGTAACAGTTGCCACATGTTAACGGTAAAGAATCCCGTTGGTTTGAAGTGGTAAAATTGTACATTCAACGTTGAGAGGGGGTGGGGGGCAGGCAGCGACTCTCGCGACACTGAGTCCAGTACCTGGGAGAGCACCGTGTCTTTTTCCCCTCTCATGAAACGAATATATAAATATGACCCCAAAACACTGACGCACTATAAGCTATCACTTTAGTCCACCTTATAATAGCCTATCCATTTCTCAAAAGCCACAATGAAGGTACAATCAGAATACTTTTTATACAGCATGCAGTAAAGTGAACTATAGCTATCCCCTTTAACCCAAAGCCCCGTGTAGTGTCCGTTAGATTCCCCGAGCTTTGATTGAACACATGGAACGACACGACAGTTCGGTAACCGGGCGAGGTGAAGCGAGGCGTGTAACCAATTCCTCCTGATTCCTCAGACTCCGGTTCCTGATAAAAAAATCCCCCTCGTGCGTCTGTCCGGTTCACTAACAGTATACATTCAATCCCCGCTCGAACAACCGGCGGGTGTGTGGCTGGTGTCCGCGAACTTGCCCTAAACCAAATTCCTCTCTCTCTCTCTCTCTCTCTCTCTCTCTCTCTCTCTCTCTCTCTCTCCTTCTCCCCTCATCCAGTTCTTAACGATCCAAATCACTTATCCGTTTCCCGTCCTTCTCCTTCTCTTTCTCCTTCTTCTCCTTCTCCTTCTCTTTCTCTCTTGACCCTCCCTCGTTCTTCAGGTCCTGGAACACCTCGGTAAAGTAGTGCGGGTCTGCGTTGATTCTCAGCATTGGCCCGCTCATCCGGTCAATGAGGCCCAGGGCCCGCTCCCAGAAGGCCTCCCGGCTGGACTCCACCAGGAACGGCTTGAGCGGGTAGGAGATCTCATTGCCCATGTAAGAGTAGGCCAGGTACAGGCAGGTGAGGAAGGTCGCCTGGAGCTCGTACTCAGAGGCCGTGTCTTCCTCCACGGCCTCTCGGCAGAGCAGGTAGACGAAGACCAGGTTAGCCGGGGTGATGAAGCCCTGGTCCTGCCAGCCCTGCACTAGCAGAGACCGGTCCACGTTCCGGAACCACAGGATGACCTCATTGGCCGTGAGCTCTTTGAGCTTGAAGCAGCGGCGGCAGAGGAAGTCAGAGAGACAGCGCAGGAGCTCGCCGGTGGACGCCTGGGGGACAACCAACACAAACAGTTAGGGTTAGGCTTTAACACAGACACACACACACACACACACACACACGTTACCCACCTGCACCACCACCCTCCGAGGGGAGATGAAAGAGCGGCCATTCTGGGTCTGCCGCCGGGTCTGGTCCGGTACTGTAGGAACAGGCACAGGAATTGGCCCGGGTTTGGGCCCTGTCGGTTTTCGGTCGAGTATTCCGTTGGACGGTTGTGATTTCTTGATGTTGTCGGTGTTGAGCTGGTCCACCAAGGGCTCAGATTTGGCCTGGCTGGCTTCGGGTTTGGGGTTCACCTTTTTGGCATTCTTCTTCTTGGCGGAGGCGGCGACCAGCCGCTTCCACGTCAGAGCATGGAGCAGCACGGAGTGGCGCTTCTTTAGGCTCTTCTCCTGTTGTTTCCCGCCGGTCGCAAGGTCAGGTTTCTCGTCCACACACACACCGCCCGCCGCCTTCCTTGACCTCGGCGACAGAGACAGAACGGTACCCATGTCTGCAGCGCGCAGCGCCTTCCAACACACAGAGCTTCCCGAGCTCTGTGTCCCAGTCCGTATCGATGGGGTGTTCGTATGGTTTAATTAAAGTTCACACATTCAGCTCCATTGACGGTTTGACCGCGGGAGAGTCCAGAGATGTCCGGAGGTGTGTGATGCTCCGTGATTCCAGCAATATGCGCGAGAGTCACTCACACATTTCTCTCTCTCTCTCTCTCGCTCCCCTACTCTCTCTCTCTCTCTCTCTCTCTCTCTCTCTCTCTCTCTCTCTCTCTCTCTCTATATATATATATATATATATATATATATTTCTCTCCTTCTCTCTATCATACACACGTTCACGAATCACGATCACACACAAGCTGTGCCACTCCTTCTGTCGCAGCGCAGCGCGCGGCACGAGCTCATGGAATGGACAGAGGCCGGTAACTGCGGGTGCGCGAGAGATGCTGCCGGTTTAAAAGCGTTAACCAGGAGTTACAGCTCCAAATATCCAACCAGAGAGGATAGTGCTTAGATTGACAGCTTATTCGACCAATGTGTGTGCATGTGTGTGCGTGCGTGCCTGCGTGTGTGTGTGATATCCTCCATATCTCCAGCTTGTCGTGTGTTAAAACAGGCTGCAGATGTTCATGGGAGAGAGAGAGAGAGAGAGAGAAGAGGAAGAGAGAGAGAGCGAGAGATAGAGAGAGAGAGAAGAGAGGAGAGGAGAGAACGCGGGAGCGAGAGAGAGAGAGAGAGAGGAAGAGAGGAGAGGAGAAGAGAGAGAGAGAGAGAGAGAGAGGGGAATAGGGAGAGGAGAATAAGGAGAGGGGAGAGAGAGGGGAGAGGAGGAGAGGAGGAGGAGATAGGGGAGAGGAGAATAAGGGGAGGGAGGAGGGGGAGAGGAGGAGAGGAGGAGAGGGGAGGAGGATAGGGAGATGAGGGGAGGGGAGAGGAGGAAAAGGGAGAGGAGGAGAGGGGAGAGAAGGATAGGGGAGATGAGGGGAGGGGAGAGGAGGAAATGGTGGATGAGAGGAAAGGAAATAAGAGTCTGCTGGTAACATAACTGCTTCTCTCTCCCTTCTCCTTCAACCTCTCTCTCTTCCCTCCCTCCCTTCACACTCCACTCTCTCTCTTCCTCTCCATCTCTGTCTGCTCATTACCCCATCCATCCATCCATTCTCCCTCCCTCCCTCCTCCTCCTCCTCCTCCTCCCTCCTCATCCTCCTTCTTCCTCCCATCTCCCTAATTTCTGTTCAACTGGTTCTACCCTTCTGCCCCAGGTGTTCATTTGTTCACTTCCCTTGGTGGAATTAAAAGGACTGGTATAAGAGATATGGTGGAAACTCCCTCTAGTTTAGCCCATGCTTACACCAATCCAATGCTTTGAACTTGTGGGGAGGACTGCACACTTTGGAGAAAAAGGTGGAGATTTGGGACTGATTGAGAGAGGTGTGTTCGCTGTGAGAGCCAATCGAATGCTTTTAAATGTGTAGGGAGAGGTGCCCACTTCTGGGAGAAAAGTGGAGATTTGGGATGCAGAGAGAGGTGTGTGAGCTGTGAGAGCCAACCAGAGCCAACCCTCCCTCCCTCCACAGTGCAGAGCGCTGCATCACGACACCGCCTCCTACTGGATGGCTTTATGGCCAACGCAGCCTTCATGAGACTTTCATCATAATTTTGCTCTTTCCAAATACTCACCCAGCTAACAGGGTGGACATTTATGGCAGTACACTGCCACCCTGTGGCTCATGCATGGTATTGCACTTCCAGTGCTACACAATAATCTACTTCTCACTGACCGAATCGTCACAGGTAGATGTAATACACGTGTTGTCCACTAGAGGTCATGCGCACACCGTGATGGTGAATGCCCCCATCTGTTCAGATATCAGTCAGAAACGGGGACAAAGGCGGCTTAGCGATGCATGGATTCAGGATGATATGATACCACAGGCCCTGAATACATGTTTATGCTGACTTTTTCATTTGCAAACCCCTGACTATAAGGGCTATAGGTCCGAGACGTTGGTGATTTGTAGCCTACTGACCACTAATGTTTATAATTAAAATGAAGGCCTATATTTTTGTATATATTGGATCTATGTATTTTCAATTTTATTATGAATAAAACTGTTTTTATAATTGTGGGTCTAGTAGGTATTACTATAAGGTCTTACTATAAGCATATCTGGGCCATAGCCATGCATCTGGCCCCAAAATAACTCAATACCAAAGCCATTAACGTCGCTTAGGCCTAATTATAAATAAAACCACTAATTTAATTTATCTCTGAAAGCCAGGATTAAAGAAGGCTAAACATGTTTAGTGGCAATTTTAGTAGGCCTAGGCTTAGATTGCCTGTACAAAATAACAGCAAAAGCCAGAAAGGTAGAATATGGTGAGAAGTCAGCAGGACCATTATAGGTCAATAGGCCAGGCCTATTCATAGAAATGGACCTAATAAAGGGGGGTCAGAAGTCTGGACAAAGAGCATCTGTGAGATAGATAGCTCGTCGTTAAACGATTAAGACTCCAACTACCAGGATGCACCAAAACAAAACAAAGCCTCCCATCCCTCTGCTCTGTGTAGAGATTGCCCAAAATAAGCTAGGATCAGTTTATCCTCCCCAAATCCTAACCTCAACCATTACTGGGTTACGCGTAAAACGGACTCTAGATCAGTGTCTAGGGGCAGACGTTATCCAAGTCCCCCTCCCCTCGCGTCTCGCTCACGGATGTGGGCTGTGCGCTGCAGGGGGGCGGGAGGCGAGGAGAGCGAAGCGGCAGAAGGCTCATTGTGTGTCGGCTAGAAAGTGGGGGTCGTTGCGGGGGGGAGAAAGCGTGCGTGGAGGCTGAACTCTCGCTTTTGTCGCCTGTGGAGGAGGGGGCGGATTAAGTAGCCTGCTCGCTCACACATACACACACCAGGGACGCCCGGTTCGTTTATCAGCATCATCATACCCGTTACCGAGGATACACAGTAAACCGGGAAGGGATGCAGACTTAGCGCGAGACGGACAGTGGGACTTCGGTCTCAGCTGGATTCGGTAAATGGTGCGTGCACCGTGCGGTCGTCGGCGATGAGAAGAAAGGAGGACAAAAGATGAACGCTGGAGGATAGACACGGCCCCCCGGTAGACACGCGCCATCGGTTTACCGCATCTCTCTGATCTCGTTTCGCCGTGCGTGAGTCTGTCTGTCGGTCGTTCAGACTGTGTCTCACTGGGAGAAAAAAAACCGAATAGTATTCCCGAATCACAGGAGGCGTTGCCTGTATCTGACTGACTGCAGAGAGACTATTGTCTGTGTGTGTTTGTGTGTATGTGTGATTTGACGTTTAGGGGTGTGAGCGGGTGTGCTCGTGTATGTGCGTGTGGTGACGACTGTGAGAGATGTGTTTGTCTGATTTGATGGCGAGGGGTGTGTGAGTTGCTGGTGTAAGGGTGTGTGTAATTGACAGTACAGGTGTGTGTGTGTGTGAGCCATGGGGAACACAGAGAGTATGGAGTCCCAGCTAGCGGTGATCCGGGCCAGGGCTGCTCCTGTCAAGCTGCCCATGCCTGATCCTGCTGAGCTGGAAGAGAGGTTCTCCATTGCACTGGTAGGTAACACACACACACACACACACTCACACACACACACACACATTCACACACACACACTCTCAAAAGGCCTACAGACATGCATGCATGCATGCACGGCACACACATACACATGTGCACATGTACACACACACATGCATACACACAGAATGTGCACACACACACACACATGAAACGCACACATGCTCACATACACATCTCATACATTACATGTGTGTGTATGTACGAGCGTTGAGTGTGTGTGTGTGTTGGAGTGTGTACGCTAACCCATTATGGCTGACTAGTTAGAATAGATTCGTCTTGTTGTGAATACCATCTCTGTCTCTGCCTATGCAACGCATTGCCTCTCCCCCGATACACTGCCATATTTAATTCACTGAGTGTGTGGTTGTCAGTAAGAGTCTTTCATATGCACACATACTCATGTTTAATTCACTGCTCACGCATGCTCATCTCTCTGCTGAAGAGGGAATGTTTGTCTTCAGTAGACAGAGATCTTCTGGAGAAGCCGTGTGCGTCCTTTATTAGTTTAATTTCCCTCCCCCCTCTGTCTATCTATCTATCTATCTAGCGATTATCGAGCGATTCTCGCTCTTCTCGCTCTCTCTCTCGCTTCTCGCTCTGCTCGGGCTCTCTCTCTCTCTCTATCGAGCTCGCGCTCTATCGTCTCTCTCTCTCTATCTCTCTCTCTCTCTCCATCTCTCTCTTCATCTCTCTCTCTGTATCTCTTTGCTGTCTCTTCTCCGTCTCTCAGAACTCGATGAACCTTGCCTCCTGACAAGGTGCGTCTGCTGCGTTGGCTTACGACAACGAGGAAGAAGTGGGAGCTGGATTATGTGATTCAGGTGTGAGACAGAAGGTCAACCCTGATTGGCCAAAGAACAGCCTGGTCTGATAATGACCCCTAGCACTGTCCCTCTTCTATGTTAGTAGACCTGAAGGAACTGGATAGGTGTAAGATATATGGACAAAGCTCCCCTAAGCCCATTGGAAGGATGTGTGTGGCCAACGTCACATGGCTGATATACCAGTCCAGTCCTTGGCCAGTGTGAAAGGCAAGCGTGTAACCATTGCTTGTGGGTGTGTGCGTGGGTGTGTGCATGTATGTATGTGTGTTTGTACTTGTGTGTGTTGTAGGAGCGGTTCCAGGTGAAGAACCCTCCTCACACCTACATCCAGAAGCTGAGAGGATTCCTTGACCCAGCCGTCACACGCAAGGTGAGTGACAACCACGTCACCATGGTAGCAGAACTAGTAATATCATAGAAACAAGATGGTAACACACCCTGTAACATTTGTCCCTCAACCTGACACAGTAGGGTAGATACAATTTAGAATTCCAGAATTTCCCAAACCAGCAGACTATACCAGAATAACCGTAACCCTACTGTTGTCAGAAATTCCGTCGGAGAGTCCAGGAGTCGACTCAGGTGCTCAGAGAGCTGGAGATCTCACTACGGACCAATCACATCGGGTGAGTCACAGGCCGCAGCCAATCACTTGCAAAGAGTCCTGGATCAAAATGAATCTGAACCGAATCAGAGTCACGCTGACGTTCACTCAGTTCCAAACCATTCTGACTCCGAGACAGGGTTTAGCTGGCTAGTGGTTTTAGTGATTCTGACTCCGAGACAGGGTTTAGCTGGCTAGTGGTTTTAGTGATTCTGACTCCGAGACAGGGTTTAGCTGGCTAGTGGTTTTAGTGATTCTGACTCCGAGACAGGGTTTAGCTGGCTAGGGGTTTTAGTGATTCTGACTCCGAGACAGGGTTTAGCTGGCTAGTGGTTTTAGTGATTCTGACTCCGAGACAGGGTTTAGCTGGCTAGTGGTTTTAGTGATTCTGACTCCGAGACAGGGTTTAGCTGGCTAGGGTTTTAGTGATTCTGACTCCGAGACAGGGTTTAGCTGGCTAGTGGTTTTAGTGATTCTGACTCCGAGACAGGGTTTAGCTGGCTGGGGGTTTTAGTGATTCTGACTCCGAGACAGGGTTTAGCTGGCTAGTGGTTTTAGTGATTCTGACTCCGAGACAGGGTTTAGCTGGCTAGTGGTTTTAGTGATTCTGACTCCGAGACAGGGTTTAGCTGGCTAGTGGTTTTAGTGATTCTGACTCCGAGACAGGGTTTAGCTGGCTAGTGGTTTTAGTGATTCTGACTCCGAGACAGGGTTTAGCTGGCTAGTGGTTTTAGTGATTCTGACTCCGAGACAGGGTTTAGCTGGCTAGGGTTTTAGTGATTCTGACTCCGAGACAGGGTTTAGCTGGGCTAGTGGTTTTAGTGATTCTGACTCCGAGACAGGGTTTAGCTGGCTAGTGGTTTTAGTGATTCTGACTCCGAGACAGGGTTTAGCTGGCTAGTGGTTTTAGTGATTCTGACTCCGAGACAGGGTTTAGCTGGCTAGTGGTTTTTAGTGATTCTGACTCCGAGACAGGGTTAGCTGGCTAGTGGTTTTTAGTGATTCTGACTCCGAGACAGGGTTTAGCTGGCTAGGTTTTAGTGATTCTGACTCCGAGACAGGGTTTAGCTGGCTAGTGGTTTAGTGATTCTGACTCCGAGACAGGGTTTAGCTGGCTAGTGGTTTTAGTGATTGTTGATTGGCTAGCAGTTCTGCTGATTGTTTGTATAGCTAGATATTTAACAGTTAATTATTTCTATGACAATATATTATAATAACATGATAATAAATGGTAATATACTGTTCCTCTGTCTCCAGGTGGGTGAGGGAGTTTCTCAATGAGGAGAATCAGGGTCTGGATGTCCTAGTAGAGTACCTCTCCTTCGCTCAATACGCAGTCACGTGAGTGTGTGTGACTGTGTGTGTGAGTGACTGTGTGTGTGTGTGTGCATATCACTTTTTCCCTATGCGTGTGTTCTGTTGAGTCACATGTGTATGTGTGTGTGTGTGCGCATGCGTGTGTCTGTGTGTGTGCGTGACTGTGTGTGTGAGTAGGTTTGATGGGGAGGTATCTGAGGCCAGTACTGAGGAGAGAGCTGTAGATTCCCCCTGGAGTCGTTCTATAGAAGATCTCCACGGAGACAGCAACCTGCCCTCCCCCTCCAGTGGCAACAACATACCGCGCTCCGCACGCCACTCTATCGGGTAACACACACACACATTTACTGCCAATCATCAGAAACAAAAACACACACACAACTTCCATGGGTTAATTCTGTGTTTACTGTATGTTGACTGAGTTGTTTAGTTCAGCGTTGGTGTCCAGGTCTAACACACTGCCCAGTAGGAAGACACTGAAGAACTCCCGACTGGTGTGTAAGAAGGACGACGTGCACGTGTGTGTGATGTGTCTCAGAGCCATCATGAACTACCAGGTGAACTATCTCTGTCTCGCTGACTCTCTGCACCCTCGCACTCGCGCTCATCTCTTAGCCTTAGATCGCCTTGAAAAACCCCCGAGCTCTTCTCTTTTAACCCTTCCTACTCCTCTGTTGTAAACCCCTCCTATCTCTCTTTTAAACCCTCCGATAAAACCCTCCGATCTCTCGCTTCTTAACCCCCTTTCTACTCTCTCTTTAACCCCTCCTACCTCTCCTCGGAACCCACCCCCCGATCTCTCTTTTAACCCCTCCTATCTCTATCTTTTAACCCCTCCTATCCCTCTCTTTCCTTCTCTTTCTCTCTTCCTAGTACCACCTCTTCTTCCCCTCGTCCTCTTGAGTATTTGTTCATCAGCGTCATTATTTGCATTTTTTCTCTCTGTCTGTAGTATGGCTTTAACATGGTAATGTCCCATCCTCATGCTGTGAATGAGATCGCTCTGAGCCTCAACAACAGAAACCCAAGGTCAGTAGACAGTACACACCTCTCTCTGTGTCTGCCCTAGGAAGGAAGAAACCTTCAGAGCAGTGGTTCCCAACCAGGGGTACTAGGACCCCTTGGGGTACTTGGTCTATCCACGGGGGGTACTTGAGAAGACTCATGAGACTAAAGGCCTACTGGTAAAATTCATAGGTACTCTGGGCAGAGCAACATTCAGTTGGTGGTACAGTAACCGAAAAAGGTTGGGAACCACTGCTTTAGAGGGAACCAGACCTTGTATTTTGGCCAGGACTCCCTTGTAACAGAGAAGGGTAACTAGATAGAACCTCTGAAGTCCATCTAAATACTCTCTCTCTCTCTCTCTCTCTCTCTCTCTCTCGCTCTGTCTCCCCCTCTCTCTCTGTCTCTATCTCCTTTCAATTTCAATTCAATTTCAATTTTAAGGGGCTTTATTGGCATGGGAAACTTATGTTAACATTGCCAAAGTAAGTGAAGTAGATAGTAAAACAAAAGTGAAATAAACATAAAAATTAACAGTAAAACATTACAATCACAAAAGTTCCAAAAGAATAAAGACATTTCAAACGTATTATGTTATGTAATATATAAATTTCAGTGTTGTAAAATGTGCAAAAAAGTTAAAGTACAAATGGAAAATTAAATCAACTAAAAATAGGTTTTTGGGTTTACAATGGTTGTTGTTCTTCCTGGGTTTCCTTTCTGTGGCAAAGGGGAAAAAATATGACATATAGATATCTATATATATATATATATCATATTACTTTATATATGATATCTAATGTATTTTCTACTACCTTTCTCTATCTCTAGTCTTTTATTTTCTCTTTCTTCTTATTAATAGTATTTATATTATCTGGCGTTTTTTCTATATATATATAATTTCTCTTCTTTTTCTATTGTTCTTCTATTTTTTATCTTATCTTCTCTTCTTCTTTTTCTCTCGCTCTTGTTCTCTCCTATCCTTTTATCTCTCTCTTTTTCTGCTTTTTTCTCTCTCTCTCTCTCTCTCTTCTCTCTCTCTCTCCTCTCTCTCTCTCTCTCTCTCTCTCCAGGACTAAGGCTCTGGTATTGGAGCTGTTGGCGGCTGTGTGTTTGGTCAGAGGAGGTCATGAGATAATCCTGTCTGCTTTCGACAACTTTAAAACAGTAAGTTGTGTGTCTGTGGGTATGTGTGTGTGTGTGTGTGTGTAAGTGTGTCTGGCTACACTGGATTGATTGCTGATGGTGTTTCTCAGCCTTTTCCAATCTCCCCCTCGTTATGTCAGGTGTGCTCTGAGACCCTGAGGTTTGAGAAGCTGATGGAGCATTTAAGAACGAGGATGACAACATTGACTTTATGGTATGACTCTCATCCCTCTCCACTCCACACTCACACTCTCTTACTCTCACACTCTCGCTCTCACTCTTTCACACTCTCTCACACTCACTCTCTCTCACTCTCTCACGCTCACACTCACACTCTCTCTCACACTCTCTCTCTCTCTCTCACTCTCTCACTCTCTCACACTTTCACTCTCACACACTCACACTCTCACAGACTCACACTCTCACAGACTCACAGTCTCACAGTCTCACACACTCACACGCTCACACTCTCACCACACTCACACTCTCACACACTCACACTCTCACACACTCCCACACAGGCGTGGATGATGCCTGCTGATGCTTAGCCTTGATTGTGGTGGCTGCAATGTCAGATATGTGTGTATCTTAGATGTGTGTGAGAGTATTCAGAAGTGTGTGTTGTCCTCTGTCTGTGCAGGTGGCCTGTATGCAGTTTATAAACATTGTGGTACATTCTGTTGAGGACATGAACTTCAGAGTGCATCTTCAGTATGACTTTACCAAACTCAATCTGGACGATTACCTAGAGGTGAGAACACACACAGACACACACAGACACACAGACACACACACACACACACTGAATGAACACATTCTCCTCTCCCCCTTCCAGAGGTTGAAGCACACAGAGAGTGATCGGCTGCAGGTCCAAATCCAGGCTTACCTGGACAATGTGTTTGACGTGGGGACGCTGCTGGAGGACGCAGAGACCAAGACCGCCGCGCTGGAGAGGGTAGAGGAGCTGGAGGAGAATATGACCCACGTAAGGACACACACAGTCGGACCGACTCTGACACATACAGTGGTGGCTGGTGGCACTTTAAATCGGAGGACAGGCTCATGGTAATGGCTGGAACAGAATGAAATCATGTGTTTGATACCATATAATTCCATTAATTCCGTTCCAGCCATTATTATGAGCCGTCCTGCCATCACCAGCCTCCTCTGACACACGCACACACGTGCAGGCACACGTACATACACACACACGCACACACACATACAGACTGCTGAGGAGACGTTTATGTTTCCTTGCAGATGACGGAGAGGCTCCTGGACACAGAGAACGAGGCCATGGCCAAGATAGTGGAGCTGGAGAAACAGCTGATGCAAACCCACAAGGAGCTGGACACCATACGGGTGAGGGAGATGCTAGGCTAGGCTATCGCTAGCAACGGGGCATTGAACACTCAGCCATTTTGTTACGTTACAGCCTTATTCTAAAATTGATTTAATTGTTTTTTCCTCATCAATCTACACACAATACCCCATAATGACAAAGCAAAAACAGGTTTTTAGACATTTTAAATGTATTAAACATAAAAAACGGAAATATAACATTTCCATAAGTATTCAGACCCTTTACTCAGTACTTTGTTGAAACACCTTTGGCAGCGGTTACAGCCTTGAGTCTTCTTGAGTATGACGCTACAAGCTTGGCACACCTGTATTTGGGGAGTTTCTCTCATTCTTCTCTGCAGATCCTCTCAAGCTCTGTCAGGTTGGATGGGGAGCGTCGCTGCACAGCTATTTTCAGGTCTCTCCAGAGATGTTGGATCGGGTTCAAGTCCGGGCTCTGGCTGGGCCACTGAAGGACATTCAGAGACTTGTCCTGATGCCACATGGATGTGTGCTTAGGGTCGTTGTCCTGTTGGAAGGTGAACCTTTGCCCCAGTCTGAGGTCCTGAGCGCTCTGGAGCAGGTTTTCATCAAGGATCTCTCTGTACTTTGCTCCGTTCATCTTTGCCTCGATCCTGACTAGTCTCCCAGTCCCTGCCGCTGAAAAACATCCCCACAGCATGATGCTGCCACCACCATGCTTCACCGTAGGGATGGTGCCAGGTTTCCTCCAGACGTGACGCTTGCCATTCAGGCCAAAGAGTTCAATCTTGGTTTCATCAGACCAGAGAATCTTGTTTCTCATGGTCTGAGTGTCTTTAGGTGCCTTTTGGCAAACTCCAAGTGGGCTGTCATGTGCCTTTTACTGAGGAGTGGCTTCCATCTGGCCACTCTACCATAAAGGCCTGATTGGTGGAGTGCTGCAGAGATGGTTGTCCTTCTGGAAGGTTCTCCCATATCCACAGAGGAACTCTGGAGCTCTGTCAGAGTGACCATCTGGTTCTTGGTCACCTCCCTGACCAAGGCCCTTCTCCCCCGATTGCTCAGTTTGGCGGGGCAGCCAGCTCTAGGACGAGTCTTGGTGGTTCCAAACTTCTTCCATTTAAGAATGACGGAGGCCACTGTGTTCTTGGGGACCTTCAATTCTGCAGACATTTTTTGGTACCCTTCTCCAGATCTGTGCCTCGACACAATCCTGTCTCGGAGCTATACAGACAATTCCTTCGACCTCATGGCTTGGTTTTTGCACTGTCAACTCTGGGACCTTATATAGACAGGTGTGTGCCTTTCCAAATCATGTCCAATCAATTGAATTTACCCTACAGGTGGACTCCAATCAAGTTGGAGAGCAAAGGGTCTGAATACTTATGTAAATAAGGTTTTAAGGTTTAATACATTTGCAAACATTTCTAATAGCCTTTTTTCGCATTGTCATTATGGGGTATTGTGTGTAGATTGATGATGATTTGTATTTATTTAATCAATTTTAGAATAAGGCTGTAACGTAACAAAATGTGGAAAAAGGGAAGGGGTCTGAATACTTTCCCAATGCCCTGTATATGCTCAAGCTAGGCTAACTCTCTCCTATTCCAGGATGTGTACACTAGCACTAACAACCAGGTGCACACCCTGCGGAGGATCGTGCGTGAGAAGGACCAGACCATCCGCAGGCAGAGTCGACTGGAGCGCCAGGCTCAGGAGGGTGGAGGGGGCACCTTGGTGGTACAGGGAGGGGGCACCTTACACCCCGCGAGGGGCGAGGGGGACGGAGGGGTGGGGGATTTTTCCTCCCCTTCTCTGACCCTCGGCATGACCCTCTCCACCAGCCCAGAGACAGTGGGCTATGGCTTACCAGGGGTGGGACTAGGGATGATGCCAGCCCCTCCCCCTCCCCCACCACCTCCACCAATGCCAGGGATGCCAGGGGACAGTGAGTGTTAGTTCTGACCTATCATATCGCTCGGTTGTTAATGTAATTGATGTAATAGTTCTAATCAGCCTTCTCTCTCCTGTCTTCTCTCTTCTTCCTCTGTAGTTTCAAACGGGCCCTACCCCGCCCCTCCCCCTCCTACTCCTCCTCCTCCCCCAACCCTCCCCCTCCTCCCCCCTTACGTTCCATGGAGTCCTCCGGCCCTCTGCCTCCCCCTCCTCCTCCATGCGCCCCTCCACTCCCCGGCTGTGGTGGATCACCCACTGTCATCTTTAACTCCGGCCTGGCAGGTAAGGCTGTGTTTGAGCTGTGTGCCGCATGTATCAAAGAGAGATTTGAGAAGTGTACTTCTATAGTTATATAAGGATCTCCTGGTGTTAACACTGTAGTGATCTGCCTCCCTTTCTCACTGTAGTTGATTCTGATTGTAGTATTCTGAACTACCACTCTTCTCTACTGCCTGGGTTCTCTCCCTCTGTCTGGTTCTCTGTCTCTGATTCTAATGTTCTCTCTTGTTCTAATTCAATATTCTCCTCTGTTCTGCTCTCAGAGGGCTCACTCAAGCTGTTCTGTAGGTTCCCTCTGATCACACGCTTAGTACCTGTCTCACACCCCTCCTCAGTACCAGTCTCACACCTTAGTACCTGTCTAACACCTCTCTTCAGTACCTGTCTCACAACTCTCCTCAGTACCTATCTCACACCTCTCCTCAGTACCAGTCTCACTTCTCTCACCTTAGTACCTGTCTAACACCTCTCCTCAGTAACTGTCTCACACCTCTCCTCAGTACCTGTCTCACGCATGTCTCATACCTGTCTCACGCCTCTCTCCTCAGTACCTGTCTCACGCCTCTCTCCTCAGTGCCTGTCTCACGCCTCTCTCCTTAGTACCTGTCTCACACCTCTCCTTAGTACCTGTCTCACACCTCTCCTTAGTACCTGTCTCACGCCTGTCTCTGTAGTACATTACATCTGTGCCATACATCTCTCATAACGGTACACCTCCTCAGTACCTGTCTCACGCCTGTCTCTGTGCCATACATCTCTCATAATGGTACACCTCCTAAGTACCTGTCTCATACCTGTGTTATTCTGTGTCGTGTGGTTATGTGGTGAGGTGATGTCTTGTGGTGTGATCATGTTGTGTTGTGTGTCATTTTGTTAGATGAATGCTGTGTTTCACTTCTTTCCTCTCTTTCCCCCTTTTTGTCTCCTTTTCCTCCTCTTCCACTTTTCTCCCGACCCCACTCTGTCCCGTCCTTATCACCCCCCTCTCCTCTTCTCCTCTTCTGTCCTTTTCCCCCAATCCTTGTGGAGGACTCCTCTACTAATCGTGGGGATTTTTCCTCCTCCTTCTTCCTCCTCCTTTCCTCTCTCTGGAGATTCCAAAACCCATTCTGTTCTTCCTTTACTTCCCCGCCCCAGCAACAAGAACTGCTCGACTGCCGAGAGGATCATGGTGCAACCCTACAACACACAACACACACAGAGACACACACACACATCTTCCTCAGTACAATGTGTGTAACATACAGTATGTGTGTGATTCCCTGTCCTCTCCAGGAGCTGAATGTGGAGGAGTTTGAGGAGATGTTTAAGACCAAGGCCCAGGGGCCAGCAGTGGATGTGACTCTGAGCAGGCACAAGGCCCCTCAGAAGGGCCCCAACAGGGTGTCTCTGCTGGAGGCTAATAGAGCCAAGAATCTGGCCATCACCCTCCGCAAGGCTGGCCAGGGGCCCGAACTCATCTGTAGGGCCATCCAGACGTAAGTCACCCCTAACCTCTGACCTTTAACCGTTACACTATATATTACTATTACTAATTATTATAGCTCTCTGTCTCCCCCCCATCTCTCTCTCAATTCAATTTCAATTTAAGGGCTTTATTGGCATGGGAAACATGTGTTAACATTGCCAAAGCAAGTGAAGTAGATAGTAAACAAAAGTGAAATAAACAATAAATATTAACAGTAAACATTACACTCAGAAGTTCCAAAAGAATAAAGACATTTCAAATGTCATATTATGTATGTATATATATATATATATATATATATATATATATATATATATAGTGTTGTAACAATGTGCAAATAGTTAAAGTACAAATGGGAAAATAAATAAACATAAATATGGGTTGTATTTACAGTGGTGTTTGTTCTTCACTGGTTGCCCTTTTCATGTGGCAACAGGTCACAAATCTTGCTGCTGTGATGGCACACTGTGGTTTTTCACCCAGTAGATAAAGGAGTTTATCAAAATTGGGTTTGTTTTAGAATTCTTTGTGGATCTCTGTAATCTGAGGGAAATATGTGTCTCTAATATGGTCATACATTTGGCAGGAGGTTAGGAAGTGCAGCTCAGTTTCCACCTCATTTTGTGGGCAGTGTGCACATAGCCTGTTTTCTCTTGAGAGCCAGGTCTGCCTACAGCGGCCTTTCTCAATAGCAAGGCTACGCTCACTGAGTCTGTACATAGTCAAAGCTTTCCTCAAGTTTGGGTCAGTCACAGTGGTCAGGTATTCTGCCACTGTGTACTCTCTGTTTAGAGCCAAATAGCATTCTAGTTTGCTGTTTTTTTGTTAATTCTTTCCAATGTGTCAAGTAATTCTCTTTTTGTTTTCTCATGATTTGGTTGGGTCTAATTGTGTTGTTGTTGTTGTTGTCCTGGGGCTCTGTGGGGTCTGTTTGTGTTTGTGAACAGAGCCCCAGGACCAGCTTACTTAGGGGACTCTTCTCCAAGTTCATCTCTTTGTAGGTGATGGCTTTGTTATGGAAGGTTTGGGAATCGCTTCCTTTTAAGTGGTTATAGAATTTAACGGCTCTTTTCTGGATTTTGATCATTAGTGGGTATCGGCCTAATTCTGCTCTGCATGCATTATTTGGTGTTTTTCGTTGTACACAGAGGATATTTTTGCAGAATTCTGCATGAAGAGTCTCAATTTGGTGTTTGTCCCATTTTGTGAACTCTTGGTTGGTGAGCGGACCCCAGACCTCACAACCATAAGGGGCAATGGGTTCTATAACTGATTCAAGTATTTTTAGCCAGATCCTAATTGGTATGTCAAATTTTATGTTCCTTTTGATGGCATAGAAGGCCCTTCTTGCCTTGTCTCTCAGATTGTTCACAGCTTTGTGGAAGTTACCTGTGGCGCTGATGTTTAGGCCGAGGTATGTATAGTTTTTTGTGTGCTCTAGAGGCAACGGTGTCTAGATGGAATTTGTATTTGTGGTCCTGGCAACTGGGCCTTTTTTGGAACACCATTATTTTGTCTTACTGAGATTTACTGTCAGGGCCCAGGTCTGACAGAATCTGTGCAGAAGATCTAGGTGCTGCTGTAGGCCCTCCTTGGTTGGTGACAGAAGCACCAGATCATCAGCAAACAGTAGACATTTGACTTCAGATTCTAGTAGGGTGAGGCCGGGTGCTGCAGACTGTTCTAGTGCCCTCGCCAATTCGTTGATATATATGTTGAAGAAGGGTGGGGCTTAAATTGCATCCCTGCCTCACCCCACGGCCCTGTGGAAAGAAATGTGTGTGTTTTTTGCCAATTTTAACCGCACACTTGTTGTTTGTGTACATGGATTTTATAATGTCGTATGTTTTTCCCCCAACCCCACTTTCCATCAATTTGTATAGCAGATCCTCATGCCAAATTGAGTCAAAAGCTTTTTTGAAATCAACAAAGCATGAGAAGACTTTGCCTTTGTTTTGTTTTTGTTTGTTTGTCAATTAGGGTGTGTAGGGTGAATACGTGGTCTGTTGTACGGTAATTTGGTAAAAAGCCAATTTGACATTTGCTCAGTACATTGTTTTCACGGAGGAAATGAACTAGTCTGCTGTTAATGATAATGCAGAGGATTTTCCCAAGGTTGCTGTTGACGCATATCCCACGGTAGTTATTGGGGTCAAATTTGTCTCCACTTTTGTGGATTGGGGTGATCAGTCCTTGGTTCCAAATATTGGGGAAGATGCCAGAGCTAAGGATGATGTTAAAGAGTTTAAGTATAGCCAATTGGAATTTGTGGTCTGTATATTGTATCATTTCATTGAGGATACCATCAACACCACAGGCATTTTTGGGATGGAGGGTTTGTATTTTGTCCTGTAGTTCATTCAATGTAATTGGAGAATCCAGTGGGTTCTGGTAGTCTTTAATAGTTGATTCTAAGATTTGCATTTGATCATGTATATTTTTTTGCTGTTTGTTCTTTGTTATAGGGCCAAAAAGATTGGAGAAGTGGTTCATCCATACATCTCCGTTTTGGATAGATAGATCTTCGTGTTGTTTTTGTTTAGTGTTTTCCAATTTTCCCAGAAGTGGTTAGAGTCTATGGATTCTTCAATTACATTGAGCTGATTTTTGACATGCTGTTCCTTCTTTTTCCGTAGTGTATTTCTGTATTGTTTTAGTGATTCACCATAGTGAAGGCGTAGGCTCAGGTTTTCTGGATCTCTATGTTTTTGGTTGGATAGGTTTTCTCAATTTCTTTCTTAGGTTTTTGCATCTTCATCTAACCATTTGTCACTGTTGTTACTTTTCTTCAGTTTTCTGTTAGAGATTTTTAGATTTGATAGGGAAACAGAGAGGTCAAATATACTGTTTAGGTTTTGTACTGCCAAGTTTACACCTTCACTATTACAGTGGAATGTTTTGTCCAGGAAGTTGTCTAAAAGGGATTGAATTTGTTGTTGCCTAATTGTTTTTTGGTAGGTTTCGACACTACTTTCCTTCCAGCATTTCTTAATATTATTCAGTTCCTTTGGCTTTGATGCCTCATGATTGAGTATTGCTCTGTTCAAGTAGACTGTGATTTTGCTATGGTCTGATAGGGGTGTCAGTGGGTCTGAACTGTGAACGCTCTGAGAGACTTCTGGGTGAGGTCAGGATAAAGTAGTCCTACCAGTACTACTGCCAAGAGATTAGCCTAAAGGATCCTGTGTACCTACCATAGGGTCCACTCGAAGACTACCCATTGACTATGTACAGT